TCAAAGTGTAACAAAAATATATTCTGCTTACTTAAAAACTCATTTCATCACGTTTTTATTGAAAGAAAACATGTTTCGTAAAGTTTACTTAAGAATCGTTTTAAATATTGAGTATTTCGAAAAGATTTAGTAAAGATTAATACTAATGTAATTAGTATGGCAACTCTCTTTGGTTATTTGTGAACAAAATAATTATCACGTTATCTATAATTTGAATAATTATTAGTATGAGTTCATACTCGAACGAATTGATAATGAATAATGATACTGTGTACAATACTAGTAAACATGATTTTAGTTTGTACATTGTTGAAGTAAGAGTGACTTTTTAATAAAAGAGATTCGACTTACAAAAGAAAACTCCCTTCATTTATTGATGTAATTGGAGAAAACGATGGCAGATTTACATTTACAAAAATCTATTAAATCAAGAAAATAAATAAAAGATTAAATTTTAAATTTTTTAAAACTTATATATAAGAAATTTAATTTTTTAAATATTAAATATAATTTAAATCGATTAAATTCGGTTCTATTGAGTATCTAAATATAAATCTGAAAGAGTTTAAATAAAAAATGTATCAAGAAAAGGCCACATTAATTGGACATGGGCACCAAAGAAATAATAATTTTCAATTCAGTAGAATGGAAGCTGAAAATCTAATTTAGTAAGTTTACGCGAGACTCTAAATGACAGTAGAATAAACATTGATATCATCAGATTATTTTAGTTGAATGGTTTGTATATATGTCTTATACTCCTATGTTCTCGTGTTCAAATCCGTGTCTTGACTGCATCAAAATTCATGTAAGTTATAGTTCTGAAGGTCTATGAAAAAATGTAAACGAGTATATAAATTGTACCTGCAATTCAAGATCTATGAAGGCATTGACGGTTTTCAGTTTTTTTCCATCTAGAATATACGATACCACAGTTTGAGAAACGCTGCAAAATCTTTCACAAAAACAATCGTTACACAGCGTTTGTTTTAGCAGATGTGAAACGCGTCAAACCGGTCAGCATTAACGCGTTTTGCAGCTATGGAAAAATGCGTTTTCAGAACGCGTTTTTTTCGCAGAAATTTACACCATGGGATCCCTCTATAATTTGTACTGTCCCGATTGGTTATTGTTCATTTGTCCAATAGAACATCACTTCATTGGTATGCTATTATTTGTTGTCTTAGTTCAATGATTTGATATTTCTTGTCTTTTTTTGAAAGTGTAAAATATGACTAATGAAGATGAACATTTTGAAATTGAACGTATTGTTGATAAAAGGTATCGAAATGATCATGTAAAATATCTCATTAAATGGCGAGGTTATCCGGACAGTCAAAATACATTGGAACCTTGTAAGTAATCAAAAATTTATCAAGAATTTTATAGTTGAACGCTTCAGCTTATACTTTAAAATATAAGTTACACAACTAATTTTTGATAGGTTTTACAAAAAAACGAATATTACTCAGTTAAAAAAATTGATAGTTCTGAGAAATGGAGATTTATTTGTATGTGATTACTTTGATTTTATAATTATATCTTTTTTTTTGTTTTAGCTAGTAATATCGAAGGTGCACAAGAATCAGAATTACTTGCTGACTATGAAATATATAATAAACAACAACAACAACAACAACAAATACTGAATTATGGATCACGATCTACAATCAATACATTATCACCAAATAAATATAGAAATGTATTATAACGTATAACACAAAAAAAAACGCATAGATTAATTATATATACATTTAGGATGAAGTCATAAATAATGCAATAAAAAAACATCCATTAGGAACTAGTAATTTACAATCATTAAATCAGGGATGTGGCGAAGAAAAAAAAGTGGGGGGGTGCATTGAAAATTTTTGGAAACTGACAAAGATTTCTGGATAGATTTTTCAAAAGTGGGGGGGTGCAAACCTATCTTTTTGAATTTGATGACCTTTTTTTGAAGAAAAATTGACTATTTTTGCTGCGAAAAATTGAAAATTTTCAAAAAGTGGGGGGGGTGCGCACCCCCCTGCACCCCGTGGTCGCCACATCCCTGCATTAAATACATCGAATGGTTTTGATCGAGGATATGAAGCTGAAAAAATTTTAGGTGCAACTGATTCTGCTGGTGAACTTATGTTATTAGTAAAATGGCGTCGTTCCGATGAAGCTGATCTTGTTCCAGCACGAATTGTTAATGTTAAATGTCCTAGACTTGTTATTGAATTTTATGAACAAGGGTGTGGGTGTTGATGAGAAGACCTGTTTAATACTCACACCCACACCCACATCCCACACACACCCACATACACACGCCCACACCCATACCCTCAAGAAAATATTTATATTATTTGACTATTACCAAGTACGCATACTATGGTCTATTATACTTCAATCTGAATTGATCAAGAAAAAATGACACTTGATGTCAAACTGAAATGGTAGTCTAGGGGATCTTCTGAATTGAGGGTGTGAGGGAGAGGGGCTAGTCCCGCCGTAGGTGGGACTTGGCGGGAATATGCGAAACTAGGGGAGATTAGGTGAGACTAGGTGGTAGCAGGTCACAATCAGCTCAGTTGGAAGAAGTTACTGTGATTTTTTATTTTAAAATTTAGTTTGTAATGAAAAAGACCATGGATTCTCGAAAAAATAGTAAACTTGTTGGTCCAAACAAAGAAAATCTCGATATTGCTTCGTCTGCACAAAATTTCCCAACCACTCGAGTATTTTTATGTTAGAAGATTTGAATCCCAAAAAAACATGTTGACTCAGCTTAAAAATAAGTAATAGACTATTCCAAACCATTTAAAAAGTTTTGGATCCATGATCTAAATCAACCCCCAGTATGAGTCTGTCTTCGCTCCAAAGGCAAACCTGAATCTAAAGGAAAACTCTCTAAAACAAATCCAAATACTTTTCGGGGTTTATTGCAGCCCTGGTTTCCGTTTTCAACATAGAACATTCAGTTACTGGAATTATCGCGTACTTACATTCAACTTACAAGTTTAATCTTTCTGTACAGAGGTTTAAAAAAGAAAGATATCGAAAAGATATTAAATTTTAAATAAAAACACCAGAAAGCACAGAATGGAGTCGTTTCATTACAAGTCATTTTTCTGCAGAAAATGATGTCAGTTAGCTGAATCGATTTACGAAGCATCTTGATTGTCATCGTCTTCTTCATAATGGTTCTCACTACAGGCAATGCCACACACGAATACCGCTGCGACACCTTGACGATTCTGCTCATAGTTACCTTCAACGAACATGCTTATTTCTACGCCAGATCTGATGTACCAGATCTCAGTAGTATTGGATTCATCGAACGTCCCCAATGCCTTCTCACCTGACTCGGTATGAGTATAGGATACTCGAATTGTCACATTCGGTTCGAGATAAGTTGGAATAATCAGTATATTCGTGCTCCATACTTTTTTCAATACTGAAGTAGCATTTTGATCGTCTCCATTCGATTTCGGATAGGGGACAGCAAAAACATCATGGGATGGGAGATGAAAATGTCCTACTATTAGACCGACTGCTGTAAAAAATTCCATCACATCGCAAAATACATGATTCCAATGGTAATAGATGGATTCACGCCATGGATTGCGAATCGATTCTTTATCAGAATTTTGAGGTACTTCTTTGCGTTCTTCTTCGGAACGTTGATAGTTTGCTTTGATGAATTGTAAAACGGCAGTTGGACTTGTGTCCTGTCCAGGAAGAGCAGTCCATGCATATCTTAAATGTGTACTCATCACGACCATTGCTACTTTATCGGCAAAGTAGACTTTTCGAAAAGCCGGATCGAACAAATCTGACCATCCATCAAGAGTTCGGGTAGTGTACATGTTGCAGTAGAATGATAATGCCTATGATCTAATGAAACAAACAAAAAAGTTTAGTACTTCTCATCATCATGGCGACACACGGCAAGAGGACAGCACGATCCATCATTCATCAAATTATAGCATGACATGTTGTAGATAAACATGAAGCTGTATTTTACTTCATTTTACCTGAGAATGCGTATCAGTATCGAATGAATGCAATTGCTCTTTCTTTTTAAAGGAGAATTGTGCACCAACAGAGGAGTAGAATAATAGAGTCTTAAACGATGTACGAGATTTCATCGAACAAACTTGAATCGCAGAAAGATTCTTTTTATCTTGAGTATGTTGACAAAATGACATATCAAGCATGTAGCTATAAAAAAAATGAATCGAAGAAACGGAAGAATCTATGCAGATAGCATTATCAGTGTAGGTAATGTTGTAAAACAGATGAAAACATGGAGTCACTATTGATCAGTCATTGCTCGGGAAAAAAGCACATGTTTTCGTCGAAATAAGACAAGTTCTGTAAATGTCGAAAAGCTAACAATCATCTCAATAGAACACAATTGTCTCAAGGATATACGCGTTTTGCCTAAAACAGGAATTCAATAGTTGACCATTCCGTATCATCATTGGAACAATTGTGGAAATAGATTTTTGACCTTGTATAGCACTACTTTGTATACAAATATAGCCAGTCTAAAGTTGATGTGTAACCTTCATTATGAGAGTAAACAGTTAAGGTTTCATTTTCATTTTAATGTGTGGTTCGCACGATACAACACGTTCTTCTCCAAAAGTACGACTGATAACTGCAACCTTGTTGACACTGTCAGTATTGGTAATTGTTGCTAACACTATTACACCGTCGGACAATTGATCGCAGTGGTAAATAGCACCATTGTGATAACTTGTTTCATAGGTGGTGTCTGTTCTAGTATCCCAGATTTTAACGTTCGCTCGAATATTCGCACCAGACTCAAAAAGTGAGTATTGATCTGGAAGTAAACCAATGCCAATATTTTTGTTGTTTCACCCGGAACTAGCAAAATATCATAATCATTGGTGAGCTGCGTGATATCAGGAGAAATCACGTACTGTACTTTTTTTAGTTGTGAGGGTGTGGGTGTCAAGGTGTCAGGGTGTAGATGTGAGTGTAGGGTGTGGGTGTGGGTGTGGGTGGATGTGGGTGTGGGTGGGTGTGGGTAGATGTGGGTGTGGGGTGTGGGTGGGTGT